TTGGGGGTTTGGGGGTTTAGAGGTTTAGGGGTTTATAGGGGTTTAGGGGTTTAAGGGTTTAGGGTTTAAGGGTGTAGGGGTTTAGGGGTTTAGGCTAGGGGTTTAGGGTTTAGGGGTTTAGGGTTTAGGGTCTCTTGCAGGATTCCTCTAAGGGTTCTAGAGGGGTAGTGGAGGGTTCTGGGGTTCCTTTAAAGGTCCCATAAGGGTCGTACAGGGTTTAGGGTTCCTGTAAGGGTTCGATATCGGTAGGATTCCTCTATAGTAGCCGTAAAGTTGGAATATTATTATCCTCGTGCCCTGAGGTTAAGTATATGAGCTTCTCTTTTAAACCTAGGTTCGATTTTTTTGGTCTATAAGGGGTAGTATAGGGTTTTGGGGGTTCCTTAACTATCAGGGTAGTGTAGGGTTGAGGGTTCCTGTGAGGGGTTGATAAGGGTAGGATTCCTGGTTTAGCGTTTAGGCTTTAGGGTTGAAGGGTTTAGGTGTACGGTACAGTGTACGGTTCAAGTAGGGTGTAGGGTGTAGGATTCCTGGTTTAGGGTTTAAGGGCTTAGGGTTTCGGATTGATGGTTTATGGTCTGGCCCTAAACCTTAAACCCTAAACCCTTGGCTGTTTAATTTAAGGTTGAGGGTGTCGGATGCATGGTTCGTAAGGGTTTAAAGATTTCGGGCGTTCAGGATTTCTGTAGATGTTGGTTCTAAAGCGGTAATTTTTACGATGATTTTGAGAGCTATCCCTGTTTGGGAATCGCTGGTTGTCTTCCCCTAAACCCTAGACCCCAAACCCTAAACCTAAACGCTGGGGTTGCCTGTTGCGGTGAGCTCCAGGCTTTACGGCCTAGGGTCGAGGCAAGAGCTTTGCGACATAAACCGTCAACTCTACCTGGAGGGTCATACCCTACTTGGAGGTTCATGGGTAGTTATAAGTATAGGGTTTAAGTCCCTAAGAGGGGTTATGAGTATAGTTACCCTACTTATAACCCCACTTATAACTACCCATGAACCTCCAAGTACCCCTTGTTTAGGGTATCTAGTTTTATGGCTAGGGTCTGCGTCAACTCGGGTATGACCTTGTAGATGGCTAAAGGTGGCACCTAAGCCCCCTGATGCAGCGTGTCCTTGTTTGTACCGCATGAACCAAGAGCCACAGCTCACCTGAACCCATCGAAACCAAAGAAGGCTACGCACCTAAACCCTAAACCCTAAACCCCTCTAGCCCTAAAGGGTTAATTCTATGCCTGAATCTCGGCAAATCTCGGCCGGATTCTTCGACGCTGCCCTGAGCTCTAGAGACCCATGTTACCTGTTTGCTTACTTGAAGATTTAAGGACTGTTGAGGGTTTAAGGTTCCCTAAGTGAGACATACATATCTACATAGATGTGCACCCTGAGACATAGAGAGCGCGAGAAAGCGGGAGAGACTTAGACGGGAAGAGCAAAGTGAGGAAGGTGTGTCCAGCTTTTCGCAAACCTATCAGCATATCAGGTTTGCGATTAGCCTTTAAGTCCAAATCATCTAAGTTGTTACTAGCAAACGTCAGCAAGCCCGAAATCCCCAGCCGTAAACAACAAACCCTGAAGCATGAATGCTGGGCTCTAAGTATGGATGTGGCAGAGGCCCTGGTATGGCTGCGGTGCCGTCCTGACAACACACCCTTGAGCAGCAATCGTTTGTGTGAATGTTTGACCTCAACGCCTTTGATCCAGGCAGCTGTGGAGGCCGAAAAGTGCGCCAAGATCGCCAAGGAGGCCTGCCAGTTCGGATTGTTGGTGGGCTGTGAGATCTAGGACTCAGGAGTTTTTTCCGGCTTTTGGTGTTTCTGGGTTCAAGATTCATGGCGTAAAGGCCTTACATGACTTATGTGGGTATGGGTTTGGGGAGATCAGGACTTATGGGATTAAGTGGCTTAGGGTTTAAAGTTTTCTGGGTTTTTTGCTTAGGCAGATGCCCGAAACCCTGCTAAACCTGAAACCCTAACCCTCAACCCTAAACCCCACACACTAATAAACCCTGAACCCCAAACCCTACACCCTAAACCCTGAACCCTCAACCCTCAGTCCCCAAGCCCTAGACCGTAAAGCTGAAGCTCTAAACTTTCTTTCCAAAACCCCGAAACGCCACACTCTGAGCCTTGGACTTTGAATCCTGGTGTAGGGTTTAAGGGTTTAGGGTTTAGGATTTAGGATTTAGGGTTTAGGGTTTGGGGTTTAGGGTTTAGGGTTTGGGGTTTAGGGTTCAGGGTTCGTGGAACCCGTAAGACCCAACTGTGAGTTTCTGAAATGCGGGGGACCCTGAACCACGAGAAGTAAGATTCCGAAAGCAAGGACCCCCTGAGTAAGGGCGCTTTACTTCGTTTCTAGATCCAATAATATCGGGGTCTGAGTATGTAGTGACCTCATTTCCGAAAACCCAGTCTGATTAATATACACGCCTTCTAAGAGGGTTTAGGGTTTAGGCTTCGGGTCTGCCCGAATCCTAAACCCTAAACCCTAAACTCTAAACCCTAAACTCTAAACCCTAAACCCTAAACCCTAAACTCTAAACCGGTTTAGGGTTTAGGGTTTAGGGGCCTGAATTGAACCCTGCAGTCGATGGAGATCTCGGAAGGCGGGTGCAACGCCAGGACGCTGGGGCCTCCATGGCAAGCCTCGCTCACAAAGCTCGACTAGGCCTAGGAGCTCTTCATGTGGTATAGGTCATGAACGATTCTGGGAGGCCTCAGACTCAACCCTAAACCCTAAACCCTAAACCCTAAATTTTACAAAACCTTCGATTGCCCACGATGCTGTGGAGGGCGGTCAGGTCGAGGAAGGAGAACGCAGCCTCCGAAGCACCAGTACAAGCCGATATGGGCCCTGAGTCCAACATTCCATCATAGGGTTTAGGGTTTAGGGTTTAGGGTTTAGGGTTTAGGATTTAGGGTTTGGGGTTTAGGATTTAGGGCTTAGGGCTTAGGGTTTTGACACTCACACTCGGACAACGTTGAAAGAAGAGAGCTCA